AAGCTTGATGTTAGTCTATAAATATGTTGCAGAACTATATCAACAACATCTCTCCTTCACAATGGGACTGCACTTCAGTTTATAGGCCCTCGTTCAGTTACTTATTGCTACCTGATGTTTGCTAAGCAGTTCCAGGGCATCACCTAAATCGGACAAAAATGATAAGTATGGTTGGGGGGTCATCAAGATCTGGCTGACATTGTCCTTCAGTCATCAGATGATCTCATTCAATGATTTTCATTAAAAAGCTTGGAAGTGCATGGGGGCAGAAGAAAGCCTAATAAAATCCCAAAGAATAACCGCCATTGGACAGTTACCTGCCTCTCAGACTTTCTGCCCAAACCCTAATTTGTGCAGAGGAGGAGGAGGAGAAGGAGGCTGACTGTATATACCCCACATCTCAGGTGCTGCTATTTCACAAGGCAGCAGCCATGTCACCATGGGAATTATGGCCTAATTCCCAGCTTTTGGATACTTCCATCAAAATGATCCAGGGTACTTCTGCTCTCAGTATTTCATGTGGCATTGTTGCGCTTCCCTAGAATTGCAGAGCTGGGTCATCAGAGCAGGAAATCCAGATGAATCCAGATCAAAAAGTACTCTGGCACTAGAACCCTAATTTTAAGAATGATTGTAAAAATTAAACCTCTAGTACACTTATAGATTAGGTAAAGGTAAAGGTTCCCCTTGACATTTAGTCCAGTCGTGTCCGACTCTAGGGGGTGATGCTCATCCCTGTTTCCAAGCTGCAGAGCCGGTGTTTTGTCCGTATGCAGTTTCCATGGTCACGTGGCCAGCGCGACTAGGCACGGAATGCCATGACCTTCCCACTGTGGTGGTACCTATTTATTTACTCACATTTTTACATGTTTTCAAACTGCTAGGTTGGCAGGAGCTAAGACAAGCAACAGGAACTCCGTTGTGTGGATTCAATTTTACGACTGCTGGTCTTCCGACCTTGCAGCCCAGAGGCTTTCTGCGGTTTAACCCGCAAAGCCACCACATCTACTTATAGATTAATTAATAGATTACCACCATTTTAACAAGATGATTAACACACCCAATCCAAAAACTGATATTAGACCTTCTGGAATTTTGACATTTCACAGGCCATAATGAGCAACCACAGGACTAGCACAAATGAAATAATTATGCTTCAGCATCCCTTGGATTTTTCTCTTTTAAAATGACTGTTAATGCTACTCCACCCTTTCCTTTCCCATCCATAGGAGGCCGACTAGGGTGGAGAGAACAAAACAAATGAAAAGTGCAATACTGTAATTCAGTAGTGTGGAATTGTCACTTGTGACTCTGATGGTGAAACGTTTGGACATAAATGACTCTACTTTCATATTAAGGTTCAGTTGTACCTCTGGCGTGGAGGTGGCGATGCAGATTGGAAGAGGAAGAAGCAAATACCAGAGTATATAAATGCAAAGTACACAAATGCAGTTGAGGGAAAAATGCACTATGCATACATTTTGGAATATAAATAAACATACATCTTTTTATGATGCATGGCTATTCTTTGAACAGGCACAGTCATTATGCACAGCGTAGGCAACTTCAGTCATCAGACATGTAGAAACAAAAGCATGCAAGTGCAACAGAAAAGACATGGATGTGAATTAAAGAAGGCCCTTTGGCTTTAGACATGCTTCCCTCCATACTGGTATGTTTCTAACTTCCTGGACAGATCGTCTAGTGGACAACAGTTAAGGAAAACTTTGTTTAAGTTATCTCATGAAAATGTGTTCACAGTTATGGTGCTCAAGTTTCAGCCCACCAGATGTGCCAGTTAGCATGGCTCAAGATCAGGGATAATGGAAGCTGAAATCTCATGCATCTGGAGAATCAAAGTCTAAGAACCGTTAAGTGTACACCCTGTGCATAATTCAGCATTACAGTAAAGGCTGACCTATGACATTTTTTGCCTAAGCTGGCAAGTGTGTGTGTGTGTGTTTGTGTGTGTGTGTGTGCGCGTGTCTGCGTGTTCTCTCATTGTAGGCTTCAAATTGGCCCTGCCTCTACTTCATGTACATGTACAGAAGCTGGCTGGATGGCCAGTTAATCTTATTTCAGAGATAGAAATAGGATAGTGCCCTCCACCAGACCCGGGGACTAGCTTAGGTGGCTCAAGACAGGCTGCAGACACACACAAGAGTGTCTTCTAACAGAATAGAGATGGTCAGTGAGCTCAAGACCCCCAACAGAAGGGGAATAATCAGAGCGCTCAAATAGGAATGCTGTCTTGCATCTTCAGTCTGAGGTGGCTACTTCACTTTGCCAAATGGCAGGGCTGACCTTGTATATTATGCTTCCATGAGCATCTCCATCTCAGTGTTGACCCGCAAATCCTCCTCAGGTATATTTGACAGTACATTTCTTTAATTTCCAAAAACTTGTTTCAAATTAAATGTGGGAAAGCGTGGATGGTTAACATCCCTAAATTGCAAGTCTAAATCTCTTTAATTATGGCTAACCATAGTCAGCCTCTGAGAGCTGGTATGGATAGATTCGAAATTATTAGGTCTGAAGGTGAGTGGTTTAAGCTTTTCCCTCTAAGTTACCTATAAAATAAAAATTGAAGGGGGGGATGTAATGTAGGTACAGAGCAATCATTCTCAACCTTGTTTGTTTGTTTGTTTGTTTGTTGGCTACAGCTGTTTGAGACATTCTCAACCTTGTTTGTTTGTTTGTTTGTTGGCTACATCTCTTTGAAGGGCTCTTCTCAGATTCCAGAGCCCCCTGTCAAACAAGGATACAGCACAAGTGGATGAACAGAAAACTAGAATAGAAGATGTTCAGGCTATGGCATCCTTCAAATATGCCAGGAACCCCCAGAGCACCATATTCTCCCATTAAGAATGGTTGATATAGAGAATGGCTAGCAGAATCTAGCAAGGTTTGCTCCTGAAACTGTTCTGGCTGTGCCAACACCCACTCCCTCCGTAGGAAAACTGATAGATGGACATTTGAATGCAGACCACCACCTTTGCAATGAATAGCAAGATGTCAATAAATGGAAAGATTGTAAACAAAGGATATGTTTTATAAATATTGTCTCAAGATACGATGCGGCCATCTTATGAAAAGTAATAAACGATTCACATTTACAGGACTCTTCTGTTGTCATGGAAGAAGGATTCCTTGCTGACATTCCTAAGGAAAGAATAAATAATAAATAATATGAGCAGTAATAAGAGCACCAGTAATGGTTCTTTCATTTGACAGGTTAGAAAGTCTAATGTCTGAACACATCCTTAAGAGCCCTATCGAACTTAATAGACTTCTAGGAATACTCAGAAGCCTGTGTTGTCATAGCTGGCTATTATCTCAGAAAGGGTTAATTCCAGTATGAACCAAATAAAAAATGTACATCTTTCTTCTGAATATCCTTTAGATTATTTCTCCATGCAAGACAGGTAAACTGATTTTCCAGAACAAAACAGTTTTTTCTTCTTTGATTGAACAAGCACACACAGGTAGAATGTGTGTGTGTGTGTGTGTGTGTGTGTGTGTGTGTGAGAGAGAGAGAGAGAGAGAGAGAGAGAGATTGTTCTCAAAATTTATATCTAGAAACTTAACAAGAGCTGTCAAAAATAGAATATGAACTTAGGTAAAGCATTTCAAGTTTCCACAAAAGTAATGCAAAAATATTAACTGAGTCGAATAACTCTCAATTAAGTAAGTCACATTAACAATATTTTCCTTAAGAAGCTAAAGCATAAGCAAATAAATATCATATCAACATAGGTTTATAATGATGAAGAAAGGAAAAAATAAACTTATCCCCTCCCCCCCCCAGCAGAATCTACAGGTGCTGCTCCTTGCCTCACCATCCTCTTGGACTTTTATTTAGATTCTTTTATCAGTCCTTATCTCCTAGTCAACAATTGTTTTACTGAGTCAGTAAGTTGTACATGGTTCAAATATTTTCTATGGAAATTTCTCTTGGTTTTACTGGGATAGCAAACCACAACTCTTGTAAATTGTGACGCTGGCAGGCAGCCACTAGGGCAGAAAGCAGACTTTGTTTTGACTTTGTTGTGCCTGCAAAATAAGCGAGATGAAAGCCTCCCAAAGGAACATGTTACTGATCTGGTAATCTACTGTGTCAGTGAGTACCATCACCATCCTAAACAATGCAAATGACATATTGTTACACACCTCCAGTACTATGGCTTATGCATCATTTGCACTGACACATTCCTTTCCCGTTCTCCTGTTCCACCAAAGACCCTGTCTAGGTCAGGAAACGATCCTAAACAGCATTCTTGTGTTGCTAGGAACTGCTGTGGGAAATGTGAATTGTCCAAAATGAGCAGAAGGCTCTTTGTACAAGTGATGCTTCTGGCTCACTCAAGGTGTTTCTTCTGAATGCTGCTCCATTCCCACCACAATGCAACAGCCCATTATACCACAGGTCATGCTGTTCACAAGGATCTCTCAACTTTATCTAGAGAGGCCAAGAAAGGTTTTTGTATGTTATGCATCATGAAGTCACATCTGATTTATGGCAATCCCAGCAGGGTTTTCAAGGTATATAAGATATTTCAGAAGTGGTTTTACCATTATCAGCTGCCAGCTGAGTTTCTGTGGCTGAGTAGGGATTTGAGCCCAGGTCTTCTGAGTCTTGGTCTATCATTCTATCCACAACACCATAAAAACAGTAAAACCAACCAACCAACCTGAATCTAGCATATTACACCGCTGTCAGTACATCCCAGACACTACATCTCTGAGCCTGGATACCCAGGTTTTGGGAGGAGACAGGAGTGCCTTTGTACAATTAAAACTATTGTGTCACCTGCACCCATTTGTGAAGATGTCTGATCTGGTCAAGATCACAAGATGATCTTGGCAGAATGCAAACTTTTGATTTCTTATCCGAAACCAAATATGTAATTAGAGGAAGGAAGGAAATCCATTTTTCCTCCCCAATCCAATTACTGATGTAGCCGTGAAATCCTTACTTGAGCATGTTTTCTTATCTGCATTCAGAGCAAATCCTTCATAGCACTCACAACGATGGGAATGGCCACTAGGCACACAGATCTGTTGGCAATCATGGGTTCCAGGCGCACAGCCATCTGTAAGTGAGGAATGTGCTATAAAAAGAAAAAAAAGAAAAGGATCATCTTGCGTAGAGAGGCTGTCACACTCATTCCCTCCCCCCTCCTGACCAAATACATATAGAATGAGTCACCGGGTCTTTACCTGAGCAGGTCCTCTTATCTGGATTCAAGGAGTATCCTTCATAGCAGCTACAGTGCCAAGAGTCAGTGCTGGCAACGCAGATCTGATCACAGTCATGGGTTCCAGTTGTACAGATACCCCTGGAGTCTCTAGCTAGGGAAGGAGTTAAAGCAAGAAGGTTAAACATCAGTCTTACCCGAGACCTGCCACAGAGTGTTGCAGCGTGACATGCTCTTGTACAGGATACTCCTTTCCATCTCTCACTTGGTTTCTGGAGGCCCCACCTGACAGTCATTTAGTACGCCATGGTAGTAGGCAAGCATCATTTGGCTCATTTTCTGCCTCTGTGGGATTTTTGTCTAAAGGGTTTTGTACTTCTGCAAACCTTGAGATCCTCCATACTCACTGATAGCTGCCCGTTGGACATAAATGACTCTGTCTTGGCTAAGTAAGGTTACTCAAAACTGCTGTCTTCACATGTACTATATTAATTAATTACACTCCTATCTTAACAGTTCTTCAAAGGACCTCAAGGCAATGGATACAATTCTTCCCTGCTTCATTTTTGTCCTCACAACAACCCTATGAGGTATATTAGCCTAAGAGATTTGGCCATGATCATACAGTGAGCTCTCTGGCTGAATGGAGATTTGAACCCAGGTTTCTCTCATTCTAGGCCAACATTCTAACCTCTGCACCACTGCACTTACTGAGAAGTTGCTTGAATGCCTCTACTAAGATATTACTCAGAGTGGGCCTGAAATAACTTAGTGGCCAAAGATGTTACTAGGATATGAGAAACCCTCTTGTTCAAAATGAGCTTCACATGAACTCGTCAGCCAGCCTAAGGGAAACCACTGTCGCAGCTCAATCCTCCTTCATCCTCAGTGTGGTGATAATCAAGAACGATGACATGCTCAACAAAGTTGTCTTAAATATTGTTACGAACTCAAAGTAAACATCAGGTTAACTAAAATATGCTGAATGTAGCTTTCATGACGATGATGATTTTAAATAATCCTCCTCATTAAATAGTGATGTTTCTTACCTGAGCATGTTCTTTTGTCTGCATTCAAGATATACCCTTCATAGCACTCACAGTGCCAGGAGCCGTTGGTGGGCATACAGATCTGTTGGCAGTTATGGGCTCCGGGTGCACAAGGCTCCCTTCCTAGGAGACACGTTAAGGTAGGAGGTTATACTGAAGCAGAAATGGAAACAGGAGTAGGAAATACACACCAGTCCAAATACCATGTAACTATCACATGACTTTAACCTGATTTCAAAAACCTTGATGCATCTTCTGATTTATTTTCATAATGTAATCCCACCCTCACAGAAAGATTTGCCATGCATATCAAAAGCCAGGAGGATACTGTACGTGACTTCCTTTTCCTCCTTCTCTGGGAAGCAAACGGCTTAAGAGGGAGAGAAAGGAGTGAGTTTGTCTGCAGCCTTTGCTTCTTAACACTGTTGCCTTTGGAAGAAAAATGGCGTGATGCGCGAGTGAAGACAACAGCAGAGGGAACTGCGTAGCCATCAGTGCTACTTCTCACATCTTCCTTCAGTGTGATAAAGTAACATACAGTAAATGGGGCACCAATCGAAGCTATACCACATAGCACTACATGTTGATGAGATAGTACCAAATTATTTCACTAGTTTCTTTTTTAAAAATCCTCTCACAGAATTGACTAACTTCCCAATTCTTACTTGAGCATGTCCTGTTATCAGGATTCAGTGTGTACCCTTCGTAGCACTCACAATGCCAGGAGTCGTTGGTAGACACACAGATCTGATCGCAGTTGTGCATTCTGGGTGCACAGAAGCTCTCCATTCCTAGGGAAGGTGTGAAGGAATTCTATGACTGGCTGCAGCAACAAGGACAGTGGTTATGATTCCCAGCACAGAACAGGCTAGCTTAAACAGCTACCAGAGCCTTACGTGAGCACGTTTTCTCATCCAGGTTCAAGGTGTAGCCTTCGTAGCAGCTGCAGTGCCAGGACCTGTCATTCGCCTCACAGATTTGCTCACAGTCATGGTTTCCATGGACACAGGCATCCACAGCTAGATGAGGAGTATATACAATAATTTGCACCCAGGTACACATTTTATCCCATGCTCTTAAGACTTATTTTCAAAGGATTTTTTTTTCATGTACAACAATCTAGGTAAAGGTAAAGGTTCCCCTTGACAATTTTTGTCCAGTCGTGTTCGACTCTAGGGGGCGGTGCTCATCCCCGTTTCCAAGCCATAGAGCCAGCGTTTTGTCCGAAGACAATCTCCCGTGGTCACATGGCCAGTGTGACTTAGACACAGAACGCTGTTACCTTCCCACCAAAGTGGTCCCTATTGATCTACTTGCCTTTGCATGCTTTCGAACCGCTAGGTTGGCGGGAGCTGGGACAAGTGATGGGTGCTCACTCCGTCACGTGGATTCGATCTTACGACTGCTTGGTCTTCTGACCCTGCAGCACAGGCTTCTGCGGTTTAGCCCACAGTGCCACCACACAACAATCTACATTTATTCAAATACAGTCACGTCATCTTTTTCTGGTTGCTGCACAGTGGTGGAGGGAGGGGTTTTCACTTAAATAGGGCTTATTTTTGGAGGTAGGGCTTATATAACGAGTATCCTGAAAAACTAGGGCTTATTTTCAGGTTAGGACATTTTCAGGGAAACAGGGTGCTTGTGAACAACAGTGATGCACCATGCTTATTTCACCTTGAGATGACTGCAGCACTTCAACTAATCATCTTTCGAATCAGCAGTAAAGAAAGCTTCATGTTGCTTTTATCAAATCAAGAGCACACATTATCCATTTGGACATGATGCTGAGTGCCACTTCAATCAGAACCCCATGGGCTACAATATATTAAAGTCAGCCAAAGATATTTTTCTTCTGAACTTAGATAAATATGATTAATGTAGAGAGCAGCAATGGCAGAGAACCATGCATTAAGATTTTAAATAAGAAATCTTTTGTCTGCATGGAGCCTGTATGCCAGTTATGAAACAATATTTCAAAATTCTGATACTTTTACTTTTTGAAGGGAACTAAGGTGTGCATAATTGAATACAGCTCTAGTTTTTGTGGGATCCTATGTGTAGAAATATGGAAAAAAGAAAGATGATATTTTAGTCAGCGGTGGCCTGCTGTGTAACATTCTTTCTACAAAAGATATTTGCACATCACACTTCAACACACTGTTTGTGATTTCCAAGAACTACCAATTATATTTGCACATCACACTTCAACACACTGTGATTTCCAAGAACTACCAATCATATTGGCCAATTCATAAAAGACCTAAATACAACTTAAAATTGTAACCTATTTCAACCAATTACTTCACTGATTCAAGTAAGGACCACTTTTATGAGCAGAAACGGAGAAAGGAATTATACTAATAGACTGAAACTATCTTCTTACCACAGAATGCTTCCCGAAATGTAAAAGCCAACTTTTCAATCAAGTCGTATGTCTCCACATAAGAAATGTGCTCATCCACAGGCTCACTAGCCAAGAGCCTTAAGGACTGCATGTCTGCTCGGCCAACCCCGACTGCATAAATCTCAATTCCGGAAGCGCGAGCCCGGGATGCCACCTCTTCCACCTGATCCTGAGGACGACCATCAGTCACAATTATTGCCACCTTGGGAATGTCAAGGGAAGAGTCTCTTGCTCCTCCTTCTTTGGCAAAAATCTCTTCCATGGCAGTCTGGATGGCCAGACCAGTCATGGTACCGGCAGATAATGGACTGATGTGGGCTACTGCTTCCTTCATAGAAACCTTGTCGAAGTAGGTTTGAAGATCAAACTCGATCTTGACTGTGCTTGCATAATTCACCACGGCCACATGGGTTGACCGTTCTCTCACATCCAAAGTGTCAATCATATTGGACAAGAAAACTTTCACTTTTTCAAACTCATGTAGTCGAACACTGCGGGAGCTGTCTATTATAAATACCAGATCCAGGGGCTGACTTCCACATAGGTCTTCTGCAGGAGGAAGTAGAGGACAACATTATGGATTAAGTAGCTTAACTCAGAGGAAACGGGAATGGAAATGGTAGCAAAACAGAACACTTCATATGAAGGCCAAAAGATCCAGAAATGACTTTGCAAAGCATGGCATAACATTTGTATTTATGGAACAAACAACACAGTCCTGTGTCGACTCAAAAGTCCTGGAAAATTTAATGATCTTGCTGCCAAGTAAATGGTTAGAAGACAGCAACCAAAATCACCTTATTGTGGAATACTTGCTTTATGTGTATGAGTTTTCAATGGGTTGCAGCACTTCATGAAGATAAGTTATATTTCTGGTTAGATGTGAGGAGAAACAGAAGGGTAGAAAGGAATATATTCTTAAAGAGGCCCTCGCAATCCCTTCGTACCCTGGGGCATTTTGTTCATGTTGTCCACCCTTGATGTACTCTTTCATTTATACTCCACAGTCACAAATGATCTTTTTAAAGAAAGCCTTTAATCTAGGAGTGTTTACGACTCCTCATAGAGAAGGACCCTTCACCCAGCACTCATCTTATGCCAGCTGTATTCCTCACAAATTAGTTTGTGCTGATGCCTCTCACCTTTGAAAACCTAAGTATTGCTCCTTGCTTTCTCTCAAGTGTAAACATGTCCGTGTTATTCCTTAAGTGTTGGGAAAGTATCCCATTTATATCCTGCCTTTTCTCTAGTGAGATCACAAGGCATGGTTCTCCTCCTCCCCTCCTTGCCCTCACAACAACTCTGTGAGCGAGGTTTGACAAAGAAAGTGTAACTTGTCCAAGATAACCCAGGGAGGTCCCACCCAACCCCCCAGCCAAATAGAATCTGAACCTAGTTCGCTCAAATGCTTAGTCCAACATTCTAAGCCAGTGCTTCCCAAGCGTCAGTCTCCAGAGGTTCTTGGATGACAAATCTCAGGTGAAGGCTTCTGGGCTACCCTAACAAAGGTTAGGGACCATTGTTCTAAGTGCTACAGCGCAATGCTCCAGAGGTTCTTGGATGACAAATCTCAGAAACTCTACCAGCTCAGCTAGTGGTGAAGGCTTCTGGGCTACCCTAACAAAGGTTAGGAACCATTGTTCTAAGTGCTACAGCGCAATGGCCATGCTAGCTGGGGAGAGCAGGTCGGATTCTGGAATTGGTCCAAAAACTATGTATCTTCTGAGTGCTGCTCACAGCACGCCTATCGTGCTGCGGATTATTATGGTAGACTTTACCATCATTCCATCTCCAGGAGAATAAATGAGACACCGTCGAGTCTCATGCAGTCCTGCAAGAACAAAGGTGAACGCCTGGACTGTTGATTAATTGGAAAACCAAGATTATAGACCAGTGATGGTGAAACTTTTTGAGCCCGAGTGCCCAAACTGCAACACAAAGCCAACTTATTTATTTCAAAGTGCCAACCCTGCAATTAAACCTGAATACTGAGGTTTTAGTTTATAAAACAAGACTGCCCCGCACCTCAAGAGTTAAATGCTTCCCCCCCCCCCAAGGGGCAGTATTAACAGAGAAATACTTACCAGTCCTCCAATCCCCCCGCTGGGCTAGCCCGGTAATGGCCACCATTGCACCCCTCCGCTGGACCACTGCACTCGCAGAGGGGAGTGCCAAAACTGGAGGACAGGTAATTGTTTTTCAATGGCAACTTATGGCTCATGTGCCCATGGAGAGGGCTCTGTGTGCCAGCTGTGGCATGCGTGCCATAAGTACGCCATCGGTGTTATAGAGGGTATGCGGTCAATGTGTAGAAAGCAATCCTGACCTTCTCATATTTTTATACTAGCTAGTCTTGGTACTGTGCTAGTCTTTCTCCAATCTTCCTGCCCACAATATAGAAACACCCTTCTCATATTTTTATACTAGCTAGTCTTTCTCCAGTCTTCCTGCCCACAATATAGAAACATAATTACCTTCAGAGATTCCTGAAAAGTAGCTTTCATCTGGGGAAGAGGCTTCAGTCGGTTGTGCTCCAGACATTCCGTCAAAGATACTGGCCTGCAGCGACATGGAGTCCAGACCGCTTTGAGTTTGGTCGTCAGCAAACCTATAACGACCCCCCAAAACTGGGAGCAGAACTAGAGAAAGGCAATAGCCAAGGATCCTTGCTAGCCAGAGCATTTTAGCTGCCTTGAATTGAAGTACAAGTTTATGCACCTCACTGTCTCCTTCTTGTGTGTTTTTCCTTGAGACAGATTTTTTAAAAAAGTTCCTGGCCAGGGAGCAAGAAGGGAGGTGGAAGGAATTACCAGTTCTCTCAGTCTCTACCCTCCCCCTAGACTACAATGTCTTCATTTAAAACATCAAGAGTTCTTTGGGCATTCTTCTCAATCACATTGTTAGTGAAACAGACTCATTAGAGGAGGAAACCTGAACTTCCAGCCTGCCATTCCAGTTCATTAGAGGAGAACATACAAGCTTCCAGTGTGCGCTTCACTTACTCAGCTTCAGCCAAAGACCAGCTGCTGCAGGAGTCAAGGTTTGGGACAGCCAAACTCAAACTTGTCAAAGAGATTGCCTGCTGCGATTGTGGGTCACAAAGGTAAACATCCAAGGTGACACTTGGACAGGACAGAAAAAGAATGAATGTATTGGTACTGGTAGTAAACACCTTCAAATTAAAATTAGTAAAAAAAAAAAAAGGACAACAAATAAAGTGGGATTTTTCTCCAAGCCTTGTTCACGTGTCTGTGAACATAAGGTGCATGCATCTAAATCTGATTTGAGGATGCACATTTGAAGATGTAAAGTGGTCAGCTAGTTGGAAGTATTAGCTGGACTCAATCTGCCATAAATGTTGGGTCCAGACAGCTTAAAGAAAACCAGCGTTTAGATATAGTAATGGTGCACATATTGTTCTTGGTACTGTGCCAAAAAAAAAGGGGCAAGTATCAAGTGCTGGTTTGTCTACATGGAACACCCTTGTATAAACTCATCCTATGATTCCAGATATGCCAAGTCCACAACTCCTGTGAATGCACATCAACAATGCCGATGGAGCTGAAATCCTTTGGCTTCCTGAAAATCAAGTTTTCTTCCTAAGCCTGTACAAGAGAGCCAAAGGAATTCAAGAGAACAGAGTGCTTTGTGATAGTTACTGTACTAACGTAGAGGGCTTCTCAACAGCTTCATTGTTGTGCTTTCAGTGGGGCAGGGGAAGAGCTTCACAGCTCACAATGCAAGATCTGCAGCCTTAGAAACTGAGATGTTAGTGTCAAGACAGTACCCATGGGGTATTGCATGTATAGTATTGAAATGGCAATGAAATAATTGGTGTGCATTGTGTGCAACACTGCAATGTGCTAACATAATCATCAGGTGGCATTTCCAATGCTGTAAATTACTGTAATAGGGATGTAGTGGCGCTGCGGGCTAAACCGCAGAAGCCTTTGTGTGCTGCAGGGTCAGAAGACCAAACAGTCGTAAGATCGAATCCACGCAACGGAGTGAGCTCCCGTTGCTTTGTCCCAACTCCCACCAACCTAGCGGTTCGAAAGCATGCAAATGCGAGTAGATCAATAGGGACAACCTCGGTGGGAAGGTAACAGCGTTCCGTGTCTAAGTCACACTAGCCATGTGACCACGGGAGATTGTCTTTGGACAAAACGCTGGCTCTATGGCTTGGAAATGGGGATGAGCACCGCCCCCTAAAGTCGAACACGACTGGACAAAAATTGTCAAGGGGAACCTTTACCTTTACCTTTAAATTACTGTAATAATTGCATGGCATCGAGTCAAGTCTAACCTACAGCAAACCTTTCCAGGTTTTCTAGATTTTTTTTTTCATGTACAACAATCTACATTTATTTAAATACAGTCACATCATCTTCATCTGGTTGGTGCACAATGGTGGAAGTTGGGGTTTCACTTAAAGATAAAGGTAAAGGTTCCCCTTGACAATTTTTGTCCAGTCGTGTTCGACTCTAGGGGGCGGTGCTCATCCCCGTTTCCAAGCCATAGAGCCAGCGTTTTGTCCGAAGACAATCTTCCGTGGTCACATGGCCAGTGCGACTTAGACACGGAACGCTGTTACCTTCCCACCGAGGTGGTCCCTATTTATCTACTTGCATTTGCATGCTTTTGAACCGCTAGGTTGGTGGGAGCTGGGACAAGCGATGGGCGCTCACTCCGTTGCGTGGATTCGAACTTACAGCTGCAGATCTACAGATCTTACAGCACAGAGGCTTCTGCGGTTTAACCTGCAGCGCCACCACGTCCATAACTAGGACATGGTTTCACTTAACTAGGGCTTATTTTGGGGGTAGGGCTTATATTACGAGCATCCTGAAAAATCATACTAGCGTTTATTTTCAGGTTAGGTCTTATTTTCGGGGAAACAAGGTATTAAATTTTTTGTAGTTACAATGAATATTCAGTAGACAAGGGAACAATATCACACACCTATCTGCTTACACGAGCTCGTTCAATAAAAAGAAAAAAGTAGACATTTTTGTGGACATTCAGTTTATCTGTCTTGCATAGGGCAAATAACTTAAAGGATATCCAAAAGTGGTGAGTAAATTGTATAGAGTGCTAATTTTCCTCTGGTTCTTACTAGAATTAACCCTTTTCTGGGGGAAATGATAGTGGTGATGATCATAGGTATCTGTGTTTTTTGTTTGTTTTTTGCAAATTAGCCTGCTTTTGTTTTGCTGCTGGTCGTTTCTGAAATAAGTACAGCTTTGTTTCCATACTTGATTTCTCATCTGCATTTGACAGATTTAGGCATAGGCATATGGAGGGACAATATTATAAGATGAGGAAATATGCATTTGCCATAAGGTATGATCTGACCCTAATTCACCAAGGCCAATCTCTTGTTGCAAGTTGTACCTTTTCTACAGGTTGCATTCAAAAGGAAACAATTAAGGAGCATCTTTTCTGGTCATACAATTTTTATTCTATTACCTCAGTGTTCTGTGTTTCCTATTATGAAACAATCGAACAAGCAAAATAGCAGGCAAGTTAAACTAAGCCAAAAAGCCACTTTAGCTGGCTAATGAGCCTTGTCTTTTGAAAATCTTTATTTCAACATGGTCTTGGAAGTGAACATATATTTGAAAGCAAGCTACACTTGAGTGCAGATATTTAATTCAGAGTACACATGCAGAGGATTAGGCTGCTAATCCTATTCACTGGTGGCTAGATAGCTCACAGAAGAGTGAACAAAATCTAGTTTTAGCTAGACAGATAGTAAGAGCCCTTCCAGTCTGTGCACCAAGCAAGAACATAAAGGCCCTGCTTGGTCAGGCCAAAGACGTGTCTAATCCACCATTCTGTTCCTTTAGCGGCCAATAAAGTGCCTCTTGAAAAGCCCATATATAGAACAACAGAATGATCCCATTTATGTTCCCCAGCAACTGCTACTCATAGGGTAACATACTGCATAGGCATAACAAGTCATTGCTAATTTTATCCTACTGACATGCAGTTACTCCTCTTTTAAAGCAACCAAAATCAGAAGCTATGGAAATTTTATATTGTATGTACTGTATGTTTTGGGAAGTGAAGATATGTGAGCACCAAGGGAACTCTATATTTTGTGGTTTCAAATGCCACTGTTTGTGTCCAGTGCTTAGGAGCCAGCCATATCTCCTCTGAAAGTCCCCAAGTCCCCACCATTCAGCTTCACTGGAAGACTCTGGGTCTAGTATTATGACAGAGAAAAAGTTGGTTTCATTAGAGGAAAAGCAGGATATAAATGCAATAGATTCTTTTGTTTCTTGTTGGTGATTGCTTGACTTCTGCCCTAGCATCTCTCTTTCCTTTAACTTGCAAGGGTTTGGTTTGTTTATGATTTTTTTGGCTTGGCAAAATGGTAAACAACACAAGAGGCACAGAGTCTTTATCCAGGTACAAAAGCAACCGAAGGGGGAGGGATGCATTTGTCAATGTCTTGAAGAGCCCTGTCAGCAGACCTGGGGGGGGGGCGGATAGCTTCTTCCCTCTGTATTTGGTCATGTTTTCTTTTCTTTAAAAAATTCTTCCATTGATTTCATTGATAGGAAAATGACCTGTGCCAGCTTCAGATTATGCATTTGTTTCCCTGCTCCAAGGATAAGAGAGAGCTTTCCTGAATATCAGAAAAAGCTTCCTGTACGACAGTGGAACCAGTTACCTCGGGAGTTGGTGAGTGCCCCAACGTTGGAGGCATTCAAGAAAAAATTCAGCCAACCACCTGGCAGATATGCTTTGATTGTATTCTTGCATTGAGCAGGGGGTTGGAATTGACGGCCCTGTAGGCACCTTCCAACTTCACTTTTCTATGATTCCGCAGACCCTCCTGACATGCCTAGGGACTTTTTGCCATCTTCCTTGGGTATTCCAAAGTGGCCTTGCCTCCAGGCTCTCTACAGGGGAGATTCCTCACCCCCTCAAAATATCTGGCTTCACAGGGGCTGCGGCTGTAATTGCAAAGCAAAGCATATTTTTAATTGTCATATTCTGTCCTTTTTGTCCTAAAAATTTGTACAGAGCAAAGGGAAAAAAACTGATTGTTTGCCCTGAGTGTATATTGTCCAATTGAAATTTTGCCTATATCATCACTTCTGGTAGACCCAGACTCACAGATAACTTAAAACAGATTACTCAACTTCATGGTCAACCCACAATAGACAACCGCATCCCTGGAGCCAGCGGCAAATGCTGTAATGGACTCCACAAATTCTAGCCAGGTTAGCAAATTGGTTGAAAATACAAAGAAGTAGTGAAAACAATTAGTTGCTAAAACATCTGAGAATTTTTACTGCTTGTTTCCTCAGTATATTTTCTGGCCATAATTGCTTTTGTTTGGTGGCACTTTATCTATTTCAAGATCACCTGCATATAATACAGGTTTTAACTGAGTGCTTGAATCATCTACCACCAATGCATTTTCAAACTCTTTTTAAAACAAGTTTTATTAAAGCATCATTTAAAAACAAAGATGGAAATGCATACAAATTAGAAGCATGCAACTGACACAAATGTAATTTCTGTGAGCACTTTTCCTGCATTCACAGCATATGGTTAAAAACTTCACAATGTTGTGCCAACTTCAGGCTTCCTGAAAATATTGTTTCAAGGCATTGGATAACACAGGAAAAAGGTAAGATAAAGGACAAAATGCCAAGTAAATATATGTATGGAATTGTATCCCACATTCTTAACTCCTTCGCCCTCATTAAAATAGAAAAACAAATCCCCACAAACTGTCATCTTGCCTTCCGATTGTCCTTCAGAATTTATCTGTATTTGTAAAACACGTGATCTTGCAAACACCCAGACTAATCCTTATTTATCCAAGTGAAACGAGTCAATGAATATGTACGAATGAAATTATATACAGATACAGAAGTGCCTGTAGAATTGTTTGCTTAAGAGGATTAAGGAGATCAATGAAATTAAAGCTACTATGGGGTCACGTCCATATGGAATTCATTTAGTAAAATTATATCAAATGCCTCTTAATCATATAATGTTGCTTCTAAAGCCTCAAATATTTAAACCGTCTTGCTGTATAAAAATGAAGCTTGTACAGGTGTTTCATCACAAGTTTTGCTGCTTCAGGCAGGTAAGTAAGGAGGTGGTGGTTCTTTCTCTGGCATCTTCATTGCCATTTCATAGGTTGGCAATACATACTGTAACAGGAAAAGAAGGTAATGGTAGTTCATCAATCTCTGGATAGCAATAGAGTGCACAAGGCTGATTTAAAGGATCTACATTCTTAGCCGCCACTAACACAGGCTGTTTTAGATCCAATAGTATTGTAAAAAAAAAACCAGTAGCATCAGGAGACAAGACCTGCATTTTGGAAATGTTCCCTTTCTTTCTTTCTTAGACTATAATCCAAAAACCATCGTTCAGAATAGTAACATTTCCAAGCACTGGGCTAGGCAGGCTGTTTTTATACACACAAATACACTCAAACATACCCATAAAAATTCAAATATTTCACTTTGACTTTTAAAATGTAGGCTTTATGTAATTATTAAGTTATGTGCCATCAAGTCATAAACAACTTATAGCAACCCTATTTTTTTTAAGATAGGCAAGATATTTAAGGACTGCTTTTACCAGTTCCACTCCCTCAGTGAGTTTCCATGGCCAGGTGGTAATTCAAATCCTGTCCTAGTCTGCCACTCTATCCACTAGTCAAAGCTTTAGTACAGTGGTGCCTCGCTTAACGATGTTAATTGGTTCCAAAAAAATCGCTGCTAAGCGATTTCATCGCTAAGCGAAACGCAGTTTCCCATAGAAATGCATTGAAAACCGGATAATCCGTTCCAATAGGAACGAATTGCCGTCCTTAAGCGAAAATCGCCATAGAAAACATCGCTAAGCGAAACACAGTTCCCCAATTGAAATGCATTGAAACCTATTCAATGCATCTCAATGGGGGGGGGGGGGAAATACAACAAATTAAAAACGAGTCAGAACAAAGTCAAATTTGGTTAACAAAGGGTTTATTAAGTGCACTTTATGATTTCAAAAATTTTAAACAGTAAACTTTAACTTTATAAATAACAGAAAAACATTTTAAAAAGCAAACATGAGGCTGTTTAAATCATCGTTAAGCGAAACAGGGGACCCAAAATTTAATCGCTGTGCGAAGCATGGTCCCAACCATCACTAAGCGAAAATCGCCCATAGGGACCATCGTTAAGCGAAGCGTAAAAACACTCCAAAAAAGTCATTGCTAAGCGATTTCGTCATTAAACGAAGCAATCGCTAAGTGAGGCACCACTGTACTCTACACTTGATGTAAAAACAAATGCAAATTTGGAAGCCTGCAAGTACCGAGATTGGTACAAATACCTTTTGTCTCTGTCTCCTTCAGAATTACATACAAGATGATCTCAAATTAGGAGAGGTGACCTTTCCCTCATGTGGCTAATTCAACTAGATCACTGGTTCTTAACCTTGGGTTACTCAGGAGTTTTGGACTGCAACTCCCAGAAGCCTTCACCACCAACTGTGCTGGCTGGGGTTTCTGGGAGTTGCAGTTCAAAAACATCCGAGTAACAAAGATTAAGAACCACTGAACTAGATGGCTGAAATCTGGATCAGTGGAGATTTCCCTTTAAAGACAGTGCGGAATCAGCCTCAGGTTCTCAGCTGGCACTGCGGGCAGCACTACTCCCCTTTCCTTTGCTGAGTTGGAAACGAGCACTAGAAACCACCTGGCTAACTCAGTCATTTACCATGGCCTTCTGAGAGTGCCAGTTGAAAGCAGATTGTTCCCCTTGCTCCTCTTCCTGTAAGTTACCGTTAGCTACATCCAAGCCTCACCCACATTCATGCTTCCCGTACAGCATTCTATCCATGAAGGGATGCTACAATTTGCCTTCCACCCCCTGCCAGGCTTAATCAGATCGGTCTTCTTAAGATTTTACCTGTTGAGGTGCTTCAAATGCAGGGTAGACTGCTATTTCAGGCATGTTTCTGTTGCAAATGTATTTATAGCAGTTCCATACACAGTTAATTAGGTAGGCCTGCAAAGGGGAGGGAATGAAGGACATCTGAGTGTGGCAAATAGCAGCAGATTGATGAATTACCTATCTACACAAAGATGACTGCACATACATACATACACAAAAACACACGCACACACACCAACTATACTGAGAAAACTGTTAAAGTTGTTCATTCCAGAGGAAATAAGTGCCATCATTTTCTAAGGAAAGTGCTACAGTAAGAACACCACCAAATTGATCACGTATATCTAGTACATCAGAGTCTGTTTTAATACCTTTACTTTAGCTGGACAGTATGCCAACAGCAGCAGAAGGCACACACAGGAGAACAAAACAGCACAGAAGTACAATAATGGTGAATTATTAAAAAGTATGAATAGTTCATCATTACAATTAGTTGCTCTGAACCAGTCAAGGGAATCCAAGTGAGGGAGTTGTCAAAAACTGTTGTCTAGGGTTGGAAAACTGTTGAAGTAGCTAACCAGATGTGGCCCCCTGGGGACCCTGGTATATTTGAAGAGGTCCGCAGAATGAAAATAATTCTTCACACACCACCTTATAAAGCTCATTATGCAGTTTATATAATCCTGATTTGACCTATATTTCTTTTATACTGTACTTATGGCCATGGCTAAAAAGGGGGTTGAGAGTGGCTGCCCTAAAACACGATATACTGACCTTTAAGATGATGACCCAAACAAAGAATACCAGAACAATGAACAGAAGGCAGCTTGAATCGAGGGCAAGGAGATCATCTTTGTAGGGGAATTCAGGCTAATAAAGACAAGAAAACTGTTTTAAAGAGACACCAGTGTCACAGTACAGCACCACCAAACTCCTTCCCTGACTTTTCATGGAAGAAAACCGGGTAGCTCTGTCCTCCAGTTCCTGCCCTGGCTGGTGTGAGCTGTCATCAGATTTGTGTCTCACTTACACCCCCCAAGTGTGTCATACTTACCAGCTGATCCAAGTAGTCTTTTATTCTTGGTAGGTATGTCAAGGAACTTATAGCAACCAGACAGCTGAGAACAAAATCAAAGAGCTGGTAGCAAAAGAATGGAATCAGCCAGCCAACTCGATGCTAGGAACGGAGAAAAGAAAAAAATTACTCACTTTAATAGTACAGAGAGCTATTGTCACATATAAGAAACAAACAAACAAACAAACAAGTAAACATGTTTATATGTACTTACAGCAATTGCTCCATACACCATCATAGCGCTAATTGTGAACATGAGAAGTGAAATGGCAAAGAGAACACATGCATTTTCTGATGGAGGAAAAAAAAAGAATAATTTTAAAAATAAAGGTATATAAAGGCAAACGTTTTAAAATACGCTGTGTTCAGAATTTATTAATGCTTTATCTTAAATTATATTAGCTTGCTGATTGTCCAATGGACTGGAAGCTAATAGAAAAAGACAAATGACAAGAACTCTGCACCAATTAAAAGCACTGTGTACTAGAATGTAGCAATAATCTTAACAATGTAATAGGTCTCTCTGGTTAAAAAAACAAATGAATCAATTGCTTATATGTAGAAAAAACTTCGTGTCCATATAGGGTAATGTCACTTATCAGTATAAGTTTCTGAATGTCTAATTGTACATCATTCATGATCTATTTCTTAAACATGTCAGTATACAGCTTCTCATAATTACATGTTACCTTTCAGTCAGAAATTATGCTAATAACAAGCTTTCAGTCTTGCTTTGACAAATAAAACAGGGATGACTATAAAGATCTTGTTATTAATCATCTGGGAGACCATGTGGTATCTATTTCCTAAACATGAGATTTTCTGATTCCCCCCCCCAAAAAAATACCACAAGTCACCAGGAATTAACCAAGCCAGGATTCTGTAGCCAAAATAAATAAATAATCTAAGTCTTTATAGAGGAGTTTCAGCTCACACCTCTTAGGCATAGCATGTTCTTCTCTGAAGCCACTGCAAAGGACGAGTGGGCAGGACTTGCTAAGCTCTGTGGGAGCTAAAAGGAGTTGTGCAACTGGTAGATTTTTTGAGAGCCACCATATACAGAGCCTGATGAGCAGAGAGGCTACCAAGGCTTTCAAGATACATGAGATATTTAAGCAATAGTTTTATCATCAACCCCCTCCCCCCCCAGAGCTAGGATTTGAACCCAGGTCTTCTGAGTCTCCTGTCATTCTAAACATAGTTAATCTTCAGATGGACAATTCCGGGCTTCCTAAAAAAATGTTTTCCAGAACAAATGAAATCTGACACCCAAAACAGCTGGGTGGCTAACTATGAACAACAAATGTGAGCTTTGATTTAATTCCATACAGAAGTCCTCCAGATAAGAACCTTGGAACAGACTCATAAATCTATAAAGGAAAAATGGAAATACTTCCTATATATTCAGCAATATCTGGACACATTTAAAATTTCATTATTCCCCCTTATTTCTGTTTTTTTGAAATTATCCCATAAATTTATGAGTTATTTACATGAGATATCATCCCCTTCACTTAGAAAAGCAGTACCAGTACTTTGGGAACCAGTGAGAATGTGCTTGACATCTGTCTTCTCATCAGGGACTCTGGTCACAGATGTCTGACAAGCAGGATTTCAACATTCACTAGAATAGTACTAGAAATCATGAATCCCTTATTGTTCCATGAGCAAGTTACACAGATTTCTTTCCAAGCTTCTGTGAATCCACACTCCCAAATTTAACAGTCCAGTTTTCCAACAGTAGAAACATAAACTA